TCATAATGACTCATCAATACACATAACATTGATGCCATGTTTACCTGTAAAGTGATGTGCCATTTTTACCTAAAAAAAAAAAAAAACACAACTAATTTATTTATCAAAGTTTGTCAAAAGTTATATCAACGTGTTGGAAAGTTACTATACTTGATAGCCATAGACATACATTTTTAGATTGTTTCGTAATATTGCTTTTAATTCACATTGGAGTTATCAAAATAATCGTTTTGGTAAATTTATGAAGGAGATTCGTGTGCAAGTTTCAACTAGGAAATGACACAACTACTTTTCATCTAAAGATTATAAAAAGAAATATATTTGTAAAGAAGAAATGTTATATTTACTGATCAGTGGTATCCATTTTGGAATTTTCATCTACAAAACGAAATATTAATATTTTTCTGAAACATCGTTATGTAATCTATAGTAAAACAAATCGTTCACCTGAAGCGGGAAATCCGCGCGTGCGCGTCACGTATGTCCTCAATAGCTGCATAAGAAAAGAAGAACGAGACCAGGTGGTTCAGAAGAGTAAGCATGTTCTGCTTTATTGACGACACCATGTGGATCCTGATTAATCCAGATCAGTAATGTCACGTTCACAAGTGAGAACGTTTTCAATTTAATGTACTTTATAGTAACAACTGTTGCTTTCATTCATGGGGGACTGAATACTTCTAGCACGAATGTTACAGGAGGAAAGACAGTGAAGTTTATTTGTACCAGGATCCAGCAGAGGCAGGAGGAAACCAGGTGACATGTAAAAGGTGATAGACTGGGTGAGACGGAGTGAACACTGTTATGTTTTGTGTTTACCACCGGATGTGTCAAAGTGTAAAACATACAAGCTCGATATAGTAATTCCAATGTAGTTCGAATATTTCTAGATACTTATTATAATACAGAAGTAGCAACGGTAGAGCGAATAACAGGTGAACTGGTTCACGGTCAGAGGGCGGAGTAAGATAACATCTAAGGCGAGGTCTAGACAGTTGAAATAGGAAAAATGGAACGTGCTTAACATAACTAGTGATCTAAGTTAAGGTTTGTTACGATAATATGTGTCAGTTGTAAGGGAAAAGAAGGACATGATTTGATTGTTACAAATAACAACAGAACTTATACCTTTTAGAATATCAAATCGCGACATAAGGGACGTAACTCTAATTATCCAGAACACATCTTATGAATTTTGTCTGAACGTTCAATTTTGAAATAATACTATTTAATAAATATATCTATGTAAATACTCTATATAAATTACCAGTAAATCTGTAATGTGATAATTAAACACCTGAGACTCCGGTCTATATAGTATGATATCGAGCTGGAATCAAAATGTGTGCGAACTTCTTACGAGTTTGATATAACAACATATTGACTTTTTCAAATGTACATTGTTGATAAACAATGATAATTGTTACATACTTTGTGTCATACTAATAAAAACATATGCATACTATTTATTAAAAATCTTGTATCATACTGATTATTACATATGATAATCATACTGATCATTACATATGATTATCATACGGATTGTTACATGTGATTATCATATTGATTGTTACATATGATTATCACATCGATTATTACATGTGATTATCATACTGATTGTTACATGTGATTATCATACGGATTGTTACATGTGATTATCATACTGATTGTTACATGTGATTATCACATCGATTATTACATATGATTATCATACTGATTATTACATGTGATTATCATACTGATTATAACAGGTGATTATCATACTGATTATTACATGTGATTATCATACTGATTATTACATGTGATTATCATACTGATTATTACATGTGATTATCATACTGATTATAACAGGTGATTATCATACTGATTATTACATGTGATTATCATACTGATTATAACAGGTGATTATCATACTGATTATTACATATGATTATCATACTGATTGTTACATGTGATTATCATACTGATTATAACAGGTGATCATCATACTGATCATTACATGTGATTATCATACTGATTATTACATGTGATTATCATACTGATTGTTACATGTGATTATCATACTGAGTGTTACATGTGATTCATGTGATTATCATCTGATTACATGTACTGATTATATGTGATTATCATACTGATTGTTACATGTGATTATCATACTGATTATTACATGTGATTATCATACTGATTGTTATATATGATTATCATACTGATCATTACATATGATTATCATACTGATTATTACATGTGATTATCATACTGATTATTACATACTGATTATTACATGATTATCATACTGATTATTACATGTGATTATCTGATTATTACAGGTGATTATCATACTGATTGTTACATGTGATTATCATACTGATTATTACATGTGATTATCATACATGTGATTATCATATTACATGTGATTATCATACTGATTATTACATGATTATCATACTGATTATTACATGTGATTATCATACTGATTATCATACTGATTGTTACATGTGATTATCATACTGATCGTTACATGTGATTATCATACTGATTGTTACATGTGATTATCATACTGATCGTTACATGTGATTATCATACTGATTGTTACATGTGATTATCATACTGATCGTTACATGTGATTATCATTACATTACATGTGATTATCATACTGATTGTTACACTGATTATTACATGTGATTATCATACTGATTATTACATGTGATTCATCATACATGTGATTATCATACTGATTATTACATGTGATTATCATCTGATTATTACATGTGATACTGATTGTTACATGTGATTATCATACTGATTATTACATGTGATTATCATACTGATTATTACATGTGATTATCATACTGATTATTACATGTGATTATCATACTGATTATTACATGTGATTATCATACTGATTATTACATGTGATTATCATACTGATTATTACATGTGATTATCATACTGATCATTACATGTGATTATCATACTGATCATTACATGTGATTATCATACTGATCATTACATGTGATTATACTGATACATGTGATTATCATACTGATCATTACATGTGATTATCATACTGATCATTACATGTGATTATCATACTGATCATTACATGTGATTATCATACTGATTGTTACATGTGATTATCATACTGATCGTTACATGTGATTATCATACTGATTGTTACATGTGATTATCATACGGATTGTTACATGTGATTATCATACTGATTGTTACATGTGATTATCATACTGATTATTACATGTGATTATCATACTGATTATTACATGTGATTATCATACTGATTGTTACATGTGATTATCATACTGATTATTACATACTGATTGTTACATGTGATTATCATACTGATTGTTACATGTGATTTATCATACTGATTATTACATGTGATTATCATACTGATTGTTACATGTGATTATCATACTGATTATTACATGTGATTATCATACTGATTATTACATGTGATTATCATACTGATTATTACATGTGATTATCATACTGATTATTACATGATTATCATACGGATTGTTACATGTGTTTATCACATCGATTATTACATATGATTATCATACTGATTATTACATGTGATTATCATACGGATTGTTACATGTGATTATCATACTGATTATTACATGTGATTATCATACTGATTGTTACATGTGTTTATCACATCGATTATTACATATGATTATCATACTGATTGTTACATGTGATTATCATACTGATTATTACATGATTATCATACGGATTGTTACATGTGTTTATCACATCGATTATTACATATGATTATCATACTGATTGTTACATGTGATTATCATACTGATTATTACATGATTATCATACGGATTGTTACATGTGTTTATCACATCGATTATTACATATGATTATCATACTGATTGTTACATGTGATTATCATACTGATTGTTACATGTGATTATCATACTGATTATTACATGTGATTATCATACTGATTATTACATGATTATCATACTGATCGTCACATGTGATTATCACATCGATTATTACATGTGATTATCATACTGATTGTTACATGTGATTATCATACTGATTGTTACATGTGATTATCATACTGATTATTACATGTGATTATCACATCGATTATTACATGTGATTATCATACTGATCGTCACATGTGATTATCATACTGATTATAACAGGTGATTATCATACTGATTATTACATGTGATTATCATACTGATTGTTACATGTGATTATCATACTGATTGTTACATGTGATTATCATACTGATTGTTACATGTGATTATCATACGGATTGTTACATGTGATTATCATACTGATTATTACATGTGATTATCATACTGATTGTTACATGTGATTATCATACTGATTATTACATGTGATTATCATACTGATTATTACATGTGATTATCATACTGATTATTACATGTGATTATCATACTGATTATAACAGGTGATTATCATACTGATTGTTACATGTGATTATCATACTGATTATTACATGTGATTATCATACTGATCATTACATGTGATTATCATACTGATCATTACATGTGATTATCATACTGATTATTACATGTGATTATCATACTGATTGTTACATGTGATTATCATACTGATTATTACATGTGATTATCATACTGATTGTTACATGTGATTATCATACTGATTATTACATGTGATTATCATACTGATTGTTACATGTGATTATCATACTGATTATTACATGTGATTATCATACTGATTATTATAAAATATTGATATCTCTTTACCGATAACATCTTTACGAATATACATGATAGTAGTTATACATGTTAAAACGTAACATTCTTAAGTTGTACATTTCGCTATGTGATGAATAGAGTTATCGGTTGCTGGCAGGTCAAGGATAAGACAAATTGATAGCGATTATCAAATTTTATCAGCTGATTGATATCCAGGTTACATCACAAAACCACACTACACTTCGCTGTAGCTGAAACAAGTCGATCATGACTCTCTTTACTACATATTTGACTTTATTTGCTGTACTAAGCATTGGTACAGCGGGTGTATTGAAATTTGAAGAGAAAGAGTTTAAAGATGAAACTGACCTCGTGATGAACATGCTATGTAAATCGGTGACCCCAGAACGATTCAAACCTGCCAGTTTTTTCAAAAAGTGGGTGAGTACTCTACTCTATTGTCACGGCTTCCATAGGTCTTAGATTAACAGTCACGCAAATTGATCTTAATAGTAATGAGTGAAAGTAATGAGTGTTGAGTAACAAACAAAAAACATCCATTAAGGGCAATACATACTTCACGATAACATACACACACATTTACTTAAATCATTAATCAAAAGATTATAACTAAAACATGAGACGTCAATAACACCGCTAGAGTTTCTTTCTTATACAGGGAAGCAGCAGATCTAAGGTTACTGCCTTTAAATGGTCGGCCTGTGGGGGATCGGGAGCCACTTTCAAGAGTCTGTCTGTCAGTCCTGACCCTATGAAATTTCCTGGAACTTTGACTATAGCCGCATCAGCCGTCATCAACACGAAACTCGACACTCCATTACAAGTAAGTAATGTTATTTACTACAGGTAGATAATAGTCTACAGGTAAGTCATCATCTCAACTACAGGTAAGTCATTAACTCTACTACAGGTAAGTTATCAACTCAAATACAGGTAAGTCATTAACTCAACTACAGATAAGTCATTAACTCAACTACAGATAAGTCATTAACTCAACAACAGGTAAGTCATTAACTCTACTACAGGTAAGTCATTAACTCAACTACAGATAAGTCATTAACTCAACTACAGATAAGTCATTAACTCAACAACAGGTAAGTCATTAACTCAACTACAGATACGTCATTAACTCAACTACAGATAAGTCATTAACTCAACAACAGGTAAGTCATTAACTCTACTACAGGTAAGTCATTAACTCTACTACAGATAAGTCATTAACTCAACTACAGATAAGTCATTAACTCAACTACAGATAAGTCATTAACTCAACAACAGGTAAGTCATTAACTCTACTACAGGTAAGTCATTAACTCTACTACAGATAAGTCATTAACTCAACAACAGGTAAGTCATTAACTCTACTACAGGTAAGTCATTAACTCAGCTACAGATAAGTCATTAACTCAACTACAGATAAGTCATTAACTCAACAACAGGTAAGTCATTAACTCTACTACAGGTAAGTCATTAACTCAAATACAGGTAAGTCATCAACTCAACTACAGATAAGTCATCAACTCTACTACAGGTCAGTTATTAACTCCAGTACAGGTAAGTCATCAACTCTACTACAGGTAAGTCATCAACTCCAGTACAGGTAAGTCATCAACTCTACTACAGGTAAGTCATTAACTCAACTACAGGTAAGTTATCAACTCTACTACAGAAAAGTCATCAACTCCACTTTTGGTACAATACAGTCTGTATTATCTCTGTGTTTCGGTACACTACAGTCTGTATTATCTCTGTATTTCTGTACACTACCGTCAACAGTCTGTATTATCTCTGTGTTTCGGTACACTACAGTCTGTATTATCTCTGTGTTTCGGTACACTACAGACTGTATTATCTCTGTGTTTCGGTACACTACAGTCTACAGTCTGTATTATCTCTGTGTTTCGGTACACTACAGTCTGTATTATCTCTGTGTCTGTACACTACAGTCTGTATTATCTCTGTGTTTCTGTACACTACAGACTGTATTATATCTGTGTTTCGGTACACCACAGTCTACAGTCTACAGTCTGAATTACCTCTGTGTTTCGGTACACTACAGTCTACAGTCTACAGTCTGTATTATCTCTGTGTTTCGGTATACTACAGTCTACAGTCTGTATTATCTCTGTGTTTCGGTACACTAATGTCTACAGTCTGTATTATCTCTGTGTTTCGGTACACTACAGTCTACAGACTGTATTATCTCTGTGTTTCGGTACACTAATGTCTACAGTCTGTATTATCTCTGTGTTTCGGTACACTAGAGTCTACATACTGTATTATCTCTGTGTTTCGGTACACTAGAGTCTACAGACTGTATTATCTCTGTGTTTCGGTACACTACAGTCTACAGATTGTATTATCTCTGTGTTTCGGTACACTAGAGTCTACAGACTGTATTATCTCTGTGTTTAGGTACACTACAGTCTACAGACTCTATTATCTCTGTGTTTCGATACACTACAGTCTACAGACTGTATTATCTCTGTGTTTCGGTACACTACAGTCTACAGTCTGTATTATCTCTGTGTTTCGGTACACTAATGTCTACAGTCTGTATTATCTCTGTGTTTCGGTACACTACAGTCTGTATTATCTCTGTGTTTCTGTACACTACAGTCTACAGACTGTATTATCTCTGTGTTTCGGTACACTACAGCCTACAGTCTGTATTATCTCTGTGTTTCGGTACACTACAGACTGTATTATCTCTGTGTTTCGGTATCTGTATTATCTCTGTGTTTCGGTACACTACAGTCTACAGTCTGTATTATCTCTGTGTTTCGGTACACTACATCTCTGTGTCTACAGTCTGTATTATCTCTGTGTTTCGGTACACTACAGTCTGTATTATCTCTGTGTTTCGGTACACAGTCTCTGTATTATCTCTGTGTTTCGGTACACTAGTCTACAGTCTGTATTATCTCTGTGTTTCGGTACACTACAGTCTACAGTCTGTATTATCTCTGTGTTTCGGTACACTACAGTCTACAGTCTGTATTATCTCTGTGTTTCGGTACACTACATCTCTGTCTACAGTCTGTATTATCTCTGTGTTTCGGTACACTACAGTCTACAGTCTGTATTATCTCTGTGTTTCGGTACACTACAGTCTACAGTCTGTATTATCTCTGTGTTTCGGTACACTACAGTCTACAGTCTGTATTATCTCTGTGTTTCGGTACACTACAGTCTACATTCTGTAGTATCTCTGTGTTTCTGTACACTACTGTCTACAGACTTATTATCTCTGTGTTTCGGTACACTACAGTCTACAGACTGTATTATCTCTACACTGCAGTCTACAGTCTGTATTATCTCTGTGTTTCGGTACACTACAGTCTGTATTATCTCTGTGTTTCGGTACACTACAGTCTACAGTCTGTATTATCTCTGTGTTTCGGTACACTACAGTCTGTATTATCTCTGTGTTTCGGTACACTACAGACTGTATTATCTCTGTGTTTCGGTACACTACAGACTGTATTATCTCTGTGTTTCGGTACACTACAGTCTACAGTCTGTATTATCTCTGTGTTTCGGTACACTAATGTCTACAGTCTGTATTATCTCTGTGTTTCGGTACACTACAGACTGTATTATCTCTCTTTGTTTCGGTACACTACAGACTGTATTATCTCTGTGTTTCGGTACACTAGAGTCTACAGACTGTATTATCTCTGTGTTTCGGTACACTACAGTCTACAGTCTGTATTATCTCTGTGTTTCTGTACACTACAGACTGTATTATCTCTGTGTTTCGGTACACTACAGTCTACAGTCTGTATTATCTCTGTGTATCGGCACACTACAGTCTACAGTCTGTATTATCTCTGTGTCTGTACACTACAGTCTGTATTATCTCTGTGTTTCTGTACACTACAGACTGTATTATATCTGTGTTTCGGTACACCACAGTCTACAGTCTGTATTATCTCTGTGTTTCGGTACACTACTCTGTGTTTCGGTACACTACTGTTACAGTCTGTATTATCTCTGTGTTTCGGTACACTACAGTCTACAGTCTGTATTATCTCTGTGTTTCGGTACACTACAGTCTACAGTCTGTATTATCTCTGTGTTTCGGTACACTACAGTCTACAGTCTGTATTATCTCTGTCTGTATTATCTCTGTGTTTCGGTACACTACAGTCTACAGTCTACAGTCTGTATTATCTCTGTGTTTCGGTAAACTACAGTCTACAGTCTGTATTATCTCTGTGTTTCGGTACACTACAGTCTACATTATTATCTCTGTGTTTCGGTACACTACAGTGTATTATCTCTGTGTTTCGGTACACTACAGACTGTATTATCTCTGTGTTTCTGTATACTACAGTCTACAGTCTGTATTATCTCTGTGTTTCGGTACACTACAGTCAACACTCTGTATTATCTCTGTGTTTCGGTACTCTAGAGTCTACAGACTGTATTATCTCTGTGTTTCGGTACACTAATGTCTACAGTCTGTATTATCTCTGTGTTTCGGTACACTACAGTCTGTATTATCTCTGTGTTTCTGTACACTACAGTCTGTATTATCTCTGTGTTTCGGTACACTACAGTCTACAGTCTGTATTATCTCTGTGTTTCGGTACACTACTGTCTACAGTCTGTATTATCTCTGTGTTTCGGTACACTACAGTCTACAGTCTGTATTATCTCTGTGTTTCGGTACACTACAGTCTACAGTCTGTATAATCTCTGTGTTTCGGTACACTACAGTCTAAAGTCTGTATTATGTCTGTGTTTCGGTACACTACCGTCTACAGTCTGTATAATCTCTGTGTTTCGGTACACTACAAACTGTATTATGTCTATGTTTCTGTACACTACAGACTACAGACTGTATTATCTCTGTGTTTCTGTATACTACAGTCTACAGTCTGTATTATCTCTGTGTTTCGGTACACTACAGTCTACAGTCTGTATTACCTCTGTGTTTAGGTACACTACAGTCTACAGACTGTATTATCTCTGTGTTTCGGTACACTACAGTCTACAGACTTTATTATCTCTGTGTTTCGGTACACTACAGTCTACAGTCTGTATTATCTCTGTGTTTCGGTACACTAGAGTCTACAATCTGTGTTATCTCTGTGTTTCGGTACACTACTGTATTATCTCTGTGTTTCTACTGTATTATCTCTGTGTTTCGGTACACTACAGTCTACAGTCTGTATTATCTCTGTGTTTCGGTACACTACAGTCTACAGTCTGTATTATCTCTGTGTCGGTACACTACACTACAGTCTACAGTCTGTATTATCTCTGTGTTTCGGTACACTACAGTCTACAGACTGTATTATCTCTGTGTTTATTACAGTCTGTATTATCTCTGTGTTTCGGTACACTACAGTCTACAGTCTGTATTATCTCTGTGTTTCGGTACACTACAGCCTACAGTCTGTATTATCTCTGTGTTTCGGTACACTACACTGTCTACTACAGTCTACTGTATTATCTCTGTGTTTCGGTACACGGTACACTATTATCTCTGTGTTTCGGTACACTACAGTCTACAGACTTTATTATCTCTGTGTTTCGGTACACTACAGTCTACAGTCTGTATTATCTCTGTGTTTCGGTACACTAGAGTCTACAATCTGTGTTATCTCTGTGTTTCGGTACACTACAGTCTACAGTCTACAGTCTGAATTACCTCTGTGTTTCGGTACACTACAGTCTACAGTCTACAGTCTGTATTATCTCTGTGTTTCGGTACACTACGGTACACTACAGACTGTATTATCTCTGTGTTTCGGTACTCTAGAGTCTACAGACTGTATTATCTCTGTTTTTCGGTACACTACAGTCTACAGT